AATTTCCTGGATTAAAGAGAAGGGTTACAGAATGGGAATCTAGAAAGATGAAACAATCTTTCTTGGCTTCACATTTTTAAAAATACAGGCTAATGTGACTTAGTAAATCTACATTTCCTGTAAAGAAAAAACATTTGGTTCCTGTATTACACTCTCAGACTTACCTCTTTTCTCCAGAATAGTATTTTAACATGAAATACAAAGTACATTTATGCCCCATTTCTTGTTCTCCATTTTTTTGAGGTATGTCATACTCGGCCAATGTTGCTGTTCTCCTTTCTAGATGCTTTTAAAAATGAAACTCTGTATAAAGCATATAGCAGCAGTGTCTTAGTATTAATGCATTGTTAGATTTTTTTAGACCCTCACGTGATATATGTGTATATAAATAATTGCATATAAATAAACACACATTTTATTATATATAGGTGAGTTTTGTTAAAAATACTTTACGTAGTAAAAGAAGTTTATCAAAAATTCAGAAAACATACTGTTTCTAAAAGGCACCTAAAAGCCCACACGTGTTTTCATGGCCTTCAGTTTGTTCTACTTACAAATTTAATAAATACTCAATATAGAAAATTGGAAATATGGGAAAGAGTAATTAAAAAATTAACTCACTCATAAGCCTAGCAGTGTATACATCCCATTTAACAATGTTAGTGGTTTTCCTCCTTTTTCTTTTTCCATGTGTGCTGTCTCATTGGGAACCTGCTACACATACAAGTTCAGATTCTTCTTTTTTTATTTCATTAAATATTCTTGGAAGACATGATTTTTAAAACTGCATGAAAGTCTAGCTCAGGACTCTGGTATAATTTATGTAACTATTTTTGAAACCCATGCTTTTTTTATTTTCAAAGAACTTAAGTTTTGGAAGATTTATGTAGAAGAATTTTTTTCTTTTCCTTCTTTTTTTTTTTTACTTGTAGAAGAATTTTAATGATGCTTAGAGTTCAAATAAAAATATGGCTTCAACCTCTAATTCCTGGCATTGACCCGATTTCTGTTCATTGTGTTCTGAAAGATACAACCTATGCCTCATTTTATACCTTATTAGATACTACCATGAACAAGACATTAAAATCTGGCATTCTTGCATTTAAAAAATAGAGTGCTTGCTAACATAGCTTTGTATAAATGATTCCATTAGGTCTAAGAATTTTTTTTAAGGTATTTGAGTTGTGTTTCATATGATCAGCTAATGAATTCAGCACAACTTCCCCAACCCCAACCTTTTTCTCCTGTTTAGCATTTTCCACTTTTTTACTCTGTGATGTACAAGCCCTCCCTGGTTAATTATGTATATATTTAGCTACTGCATGTGTTGGGCTTATTATTGTCATCTAATTAGATGTAACTTGAACTGCTTGCTTCTAGAAAAATCATTAAAAATTCTTTCCTAATGACCTAGAGATGACAAAATGTCTGTAAAGTGTGAAGAAGCAGACAAGCACAGGAACATCGCTCTTAAAGAGTGTTAATCCAGATGCTGCAATCATCTAATTAAACAATATTTTGCTGTCATTAACATTTTCACCAAGGAATTGCAGTTATAATTTCTTTGTCAGCTGTCTCTAGATCACTTTACCTTCAAAACTAAAGTGCCATATAAAAACATTAAATTGGATGGTTTAATTAAAAAGTTTTTTTTTTAATGAAGAAACATATCCAGTGTTTCTGAGATCTCATTTACTGTGCTTCACTTTTATTGTTCGAGTAGATTAGTGTCATAGGCTTGCAATATTTAATATTCATCTTCTAAGATAAAACCTTATAAGCATAGTTAGTAAAAAAAAAAAAATCACTTACCACTTCTGGAAAAGGAAAGAACCCTATCAATTATAGCACAAGGTTATTTACTAAACTTCAATTATCCTAAAAAAAAATACACAAAACATAAAAAACAAAAAACAGAACAGTTGATAAATAGGTACCTCCAAGTAACAGGTATTACTTTGGAAATACTTCACTTTGTTTGCTAATTTAGTAAACAGTCACTTTTTTTGTTCGTTTCACAAAGATGTTCAGTAAAATAATTAAGTAATAATGCTAATTCATGAGTGAAAAATCCCGAAGTCCCATTTATTCTTTTTCATCCATGTGATTTTTAAATACATTGTGCATTTTTGATTTAAATTAAAAAAATTATATTGACTATCCATAGAGTAAAGCTTTTATGTGAAAATTTTTTATTTAAATAGCTTTGACTGTATGTAAGCACACTGATTTATAAAATTTCTTTTAGAATTTAAATGGTGCTATCAGCTTTAGTAATTTAAAAACTGCTAAATTTTTGTTAGAATTTATTTTGAAGGAACCTTCCATAGATTATTAAAAGTGAATTACAAAAAATGTAGGACAGAGCAATTGTCATAAGCTCTAACTGTGGTCATCAATCAATTTTGTGTGTGTGTTTTAAAGATGAAGGTTTCTTTCTCTGCACGTTTTCCAGAAATACCTATATTAGAAAGTCATTCCTATTAAAAAGCTGGTGTCTTCAAGTATGGTCTCTATTTTTATGCTGTTTGTAGTTACATGATACATTTAAGTACTAAGTCAATATAAACGGGCTTTGTATTTATTTTATTTTGACAGTTTTTTCCTTAGTATGTATGGAATAAAACCTTATCAGAAAATTTAAAAACAATTATGGTATCTAATTTTATTTATATAAGTAATATATGTTACAGAAATAACAGCAATATTATTCTATAAAAAAGCACTTATTTACTTGAAGACCTATTTTTCATTGAAACCTACAGATTTTTTAAGTAGAATGGTAACCCAGAAAATGACAGGACCCTAAAAACGCTTTGGGTCCAGTTTGAATCCCAGAAATAGCTCTGCCTAGCCAATCTTCACTTTCCGTATATATACATATATAGGAAAATACTGAGAGTCGTCAAGTGTCTTAGACTGACATATACGTGAGCTATCAGTAATACATTTCAAATTTTAGAATTTTACACTTCGTATTCTACAGTGAGTCTACTTTAGCAGAACGTTCTCATGCACGAGACGTTAATAAAGTTTCCGAATTTGTGTTTATTCTTACCAGTGTGATTCTTCACAGTCGACTTATAAACATAAAACAGGTGCATTCATTGGCTGAGCCATCTAGCCGCAGACATTTTCTTCTAGCTTAACATGCATGTTCACAGTGTCATTCTCCCTCATCTGTACTGCTCTGCCCTTACATAGTCCTCATCTGCCAGAGACTGTCCTGCAATTTTCCTTTTTCACTTGACTATTTGTTTACCTAAAATTTGGTTCATCTTATCCCATTTTCATCACCTCTCTATTCTTTCCTTCAACAAACATTTATTGGCAGACAGTATGTTTGAGATTAAAAATGAAGCAAAACCCTAGATTCTACATTCACGTGTTTACAGAGTGATGGAGAAGCAGACAAGTAAACAACGATGTGTATTAGCGGCAACCCGCGTCCTCTGAGTGCTGGCATGGGAGAACAAAGGGGAACCTAACCTGCCTCTCACCTCATTCTAGGGACTGCAAAGTGGAAGCAACATCCTGCTTTCTATCCCTTACCTCCATCAATTTACACATTTAAAATAATGTATCATTTTGTTGTAAAATGTGGAGATTCATATCATTAACAGATAAAATAGTCACCTGGTCAGATGTTTATGAAATGAATGTATTAATTTGATCTGATGCTTGTAATAACAGATTTTGTTCTCCCTTGGATCAGGGTTGGGTTTTTTTTCTATTTCACAACCACATATACCAATTGCTACAAAAAGTAGATATCATTTCATGACAATTCTTCAATGCCAAATGAGATAATGTATGCATATCTATATCACTGTTATGCTCTGTGGGATGTGTGCACTAAAGCATTCTAGATGAAATCCGTATCACTAAATACTGGGGAAATCACTCTTTTATGTGAATTCAAATGGAAATTTAGAAAGTTACCCATGATCAGATTATAACATATTTTTGCAAAAAAAAAAAATCTTGCCCAACAAGATTTGTCCAACAGGATAATGATTCTCTTAATTTCATCTTCTCATATGTTATTTCAGTACCAGTTTATGAGGGTGAGCCAGTGCTGTACATTCCCTAAACTTTTTACCTTCCCACTGTGCTTCGATAGCCCACCTGAGCCTCTTAAGTCATTCTATCAGAAAATAAACAGCAAACCTATCCTAAGGTGCAGCAGCTCTCCACCAAAGAGAAACAACATAACACAAAAAGAAAATGCATGAACCTAAAGGAGTGAAAAAGATGTGGAAGACATCTGCCTTTGAACTTTTTCCTGCTGGCTTCAGAGGACTTCTGTTAACTTGTACATTCTCAAGTTATTCTTGTTTTGGTAATTCTTGATATAAGCTCAATATAGTATTCTGTACACTGGCAATATAATTTCTAGATATATAATCACTGTAGTAGAATACCATCACGTAACCTGCAAGTGTACAGATTGGCAGGATCCTTCATCCATGACCACTTTTGGGGGTTGGCAGGATCCCTCATCAATGATCACTTTCAGGATCTTCACCAATGAAGCTCTGCTTTTCAGGTGCCAGTAATATCTTCATCAGAACCAGCAGAAAAGCGATGGAGAATGGAGGCACCCATGTGGCAGGTTAGGTCAGGACTGGATGTGGGACATACCATTTCTGCTCAGGTTCTTTCGATTAGAACTGAATACCATGCCCATAGCTGCTTGTAAGGAAGGTTGAGAAATGTGGTCTAGCCTAAGAAGAGAAATGAATTATGATAAACGGCTCTCAGTCTCTACCACAAGCTTATATTCTAGAAAGTAATTCTAGTTACTCATGTCTTAATTATTATTGAGTGAATTCACTTGAAATGCATTGTCATTAGAGTGCTTTTGATTAAACAAAGACATAGTTCAACTAATGAGTTACTCTTTTCTGAAATCCAGTAGTTTCCTTATGTAAGAACAAGAACAATTTCATAAGCAATTAGTGCATATACAGATTTTCATTTCTCTTTTTCTTTACTAGGACGGACATATAATGACCTGAACCAATATCCCGTGTTTCCATGGGTATTAACAAACTATGAATCAGAAGAATTGGATTTGACTCTTCCAGGAAACTTCAGAGATCTATCAAAGGTAACTTTCAAATATATAAAAGTCAGTTTTCTTCATAAAACTTTATTCTAAAAGCATTTCTACCAGATATATCTCCAATATATCCAATATATATCCAATTAATGTTTGTAAGAAAGTAAACCTGGTCTTCTCCTTTTGTGGTTAACATCTAAATCTCATCAATTCTTAGCATAGGTTTTAAGCTACAAGAAGATAAATTAGTTCTAGCATAGGCAAAATGCAATACATATTTGAGAAAGAGCAAATGTAAGGGGAGGTTGCTCATATATCTTTGGTTTTAAAGGTCAAGGTAAAAAACCTGAAATTAGAACAAAATATGGTTGCAAATTATTTCTGTGATATATTTCTTAGGTGATAAGACATGTAATCTTGACCATAATGCACATACACACACACACACACACACACACACACACACACACACACACACTATATAGGGGAACATCCTAGTGAAAAGAAAGTAGGATACAATAATTCATCACAGATCTGTTAAGATACAAGAGAGATTTGGCCCAAAAACTGGCAAGAAAAAAAATACATAATGGGGGATAAGAATAAAAAGCAAATTTGTGTTTAGTTCACCTCATTTATCCAGAGGAAACTTAAGGGGGATGCTCAATTATTTGAAGTGCAGTGAAGGACTAGGAGCTAAGCCCCCAAAAAGCTTCTCTGTAGCCTAAGCCACTGTCAGAGCCAGACCGTTCAGTTTAATATGTATACTTTTGCCATTTTAAGCCTCAGCCCCCATTCACTCTGAATTTTGTTCTCTTTTCTGTCATACTTGGTGGCCTGCTTTAGCGTTCCACAGCAGGTTACGAGGCATATGTATGTGTGTATGTTTGGTTTGGGGCAGGGGGAGGGCTGAGGAGCTCATGAACCAGGGTAGCCTAAGCACTGCAGCCAGTTTAAAAGTGATCCCACAGATGGTTTTTAATCAGCACACCTTCTCTTGCCTGCTTTCTTACCTTTGAAAACTAGACCTACCTAAGTTGAAGTTTTGTATTCCACCGCTTACTAGCTATGTGACCTGAAGTCACTTTTCCCTTAGCCCAGGTTTCCACATTTGTAATAAGAGAACAGCACTACTGTCCTAAGCCACACAGTTGCAAAGATCAAATGACATGTGCATTTAAAGAATGTGACATGGTTCTTAGCACATTGAAGCACTTTGTGATTATTAGCTATGATTATTACACATGGACTATTTCTTAGCCCGTTTTGAAGCCTGTGTACTAATACTTGCATATTCTTATCTGTCATTCACTCTCTAGTTCTGTTATTTTATGTGACTTCCTTATCAAATCTCCATTGCTAGCTCATTGCTAATTTTAGTTATGATATTATAGGTACAAAAGGGACCTAAAAGGTCAGTTAGCCCACACCTTACTGAGAGTCCCACATCTGGGAGAAAACAAAGTACTAGCAACTGAATTCCAATATGGTTTTCAAATGCAGTAATTTTTCCAATTCAAATGAACCAAACAAAAATCTTGCATCATTTACCATGGGCAAGTAACTATTCAGGCCAGGTAGATGAAAGGGTTGTAATTCATGGGGCCTGCCCTCCAGGGGCAAATCTAGTAATAAAGTATCTGAATCATAAAACCAATCTCTGCAAAGTTAAATAATAAGGTCCAATATTATATAGAGAGAACTACATGAGAGGCGGTGAGCTGTGGTTAGGAACGAGAACTCCAGAGCTAGACGGCCTGGGTTCAAATCCTAATTGTGCCACTTCCTGGCTTCAGGGTCTTAGACAAAGTTAATTTTCTCTGCCTCAGTTTCTTCACCTGTAGAATAGGGACAATAATAATGGGTTTGTTGTGAGGATTTGATGAGTGGATAATAAGTGGATAATAAGTGTAAAGAACTAAAAAAAGTGTAAAGAACTTGTGATAGTGCTTAGCATATCAATATTAGCTAGCACTGTATATTTAAAAATGATATAAATCATTGATAGAAGTCATATATTTTGAATTGTCTTTCAAATATTGATGACAAATACATACTGTTTATTCATATTAGGATTTTAACGTTTGAAGGTATGCACTTTTGACACGACTTGCCAAAGTTGCAGTGTGATCTTTGGGTATAAAACAAAACCAAACTAACTCATAAGTGTGAGGATAAAAACTGCCAAACTAGTTCTTTAACACAATCTCGTCCATATATGTTTTATTTAGCATTATTCAAATGACTGTTACATACTAATCACTATAAAATATACATATGATACAATTTATTGTAGATTCTCAAGTAGCATGATACACACATTGTAGTAAAACCTCAAAAGCTGACTGCCACTATGGCTATGTTAGGTTGTTTTGTTTTGTTTTGTTTTTTTAGATTACTCTAAAAACAGGGAAAGAAGGCCTTTTTCTTTGAAATCAACTGGAATATTGTGGGGATAGGAAGCTTCTCAGTTAAGTTTCCTTTCCTTCCTCTGTTTATTTATTCATTCTTTCAGTCAACAAATGTTTATCACACACTTCATATATGTCAAGCACTGTACTAGGTGGAAGGGTGTACAGGAGTTAGTAAAACAGACTTAGTCACAGCCCTTTTTGGGAAGAGACCAGTCCCAAGCTGAGATGACAACTCAGGTAGTTACCAGAAATCTGAGGCCAGCATATCTAACAGTCAGTATAGTGGCGACTGTACCGAATTGGAGAATTTATACTTAACTACTCGAAGACGTGGGACGCCAGTGTTCTTGCAACACTGTCCCAACCAAAGAAAATATAGCCTTCATTATGATTAATATGGATAAGAGAAGGCATATAGTAAAATATTTGCTAGTAATTATAGATTTTTAGTTTATCCATATAGAAAAGAAGACATAAACTAAATGTGAGGAAATCACTGTTTCTAAAGTAACTGGAATATGTAAACATTCTTCAGGTTTTTAATGCTGATTCATTTAATCTGTGTTCCTTTTGGCAGAACATTTCCCTTTGTAATTCACATGTGCTCTCCTGATTTTATATAATGTTAAATAAGTAGAAGAGGTAAACAGACAAGGCAACGTGAATACTAACTATACTTTCACAAGCATGGAGTCCTTCATGTTGTGAACATTTGAACTCATGAGCTCTTAAAAGATAGATAGCTTTTTTTTTCAGTTCTGCTGTGTTCCATGCTTTAGTAATTTGTTCTTTATATTCTGTCAGACTAACATGATAGGAAAATGTTAGCAAATTAAAGCCTCCTGATGTGTTAATAAATTACTCTTGCATTGTTCCCATGCTTCATTGAATTTCTTAATAGGAACTTCTTACAAATGGGCTAGAAACTCAAAACTATCCTGTATAAAAATCATTAATAAACAAGATTTTAATGTATGAAAATATATCATATTATACACCTACTAGGAAAATGACATTTGAAGTATAATAATATAATTGAAAGGACAAACTACTAATAATGAAATATTATTGTAATGAGATGACCACTAAGAAGCACATAAATTCTTGTAGGTATAATCAATACTACAAATGAAATTTTTAATAGAGAGTTTGTTAATTTTCAAAATCTCAAGCAAGAATTTCAATATCCGAATGATATTATTAATCAGGAACCTTCTTAAAGATCTCTAAGAGCAAAAGAAGTTGTTTGTAAACAAAGATTGGGACCCATGGAATAATTTCTAGTAGTGAATAATTCTAGAATTTGTTTCAGTAAACAACATTTGAAGCTCCAAACAATTTTTATTTTCTAAAGAATAAAAAAGTATTAAAAATTAAGAAGCTGTGAAATATACAATAAATAAAATATACGATCCTAAAAAAATTTTCATCTTTGTACCCCCACATTACACTGGCTTCATGAAATTCTATGTCATCAGTTAGAACTTTTGCACAGTATAGTACTAAAATGGGTGTCTCGGTTCCACACCTCACATCATACAACCCAAAGGAAAAGAGAGAATCTCACCAAAGTCACGCTCATGGAAGACAGAAAAAATTTTCTTTCCTAGAAATCCGAAAAATGTCTCCTTGTGTGTTATTGGTGCTGCTTAACAGGGGTAGAGTATGTTCACTTGAGATGAGCCAAGTGAATCATAAAACCAATCTCTGCCCATGGTTGGAGCCAAAGGATCTCACAAGACACCTGTCAAAGGATGGGCTGAAAGTTGACCAAAGGAAATTTGGATTTCTCTAAAGAAAGGGGACTGAGTTGTGGTCAGCAAACAGCTCTCTGTTATAAAGTAAAAAATACAGTGTATCTGAGAGTTTCTTCTTTCTGATTTCTATAATCTAGAGAATAGCAAATAAATTACAGGTTTATATGCACATAGCTACTTCATAAAAGGAGCTTTGCAAGGTGCTAAGAAGACTTTAAAATTTAGTCCTAACCCTCAAGGAATAGTCACTGGTTATGAGGGAAAAACAGCCAATAGGCAGTAGCTTTTTATTACATACATACAAGTTTAATATATGAATATTAGGTGGAATCAGAGATAAATTTGCCATAAAGCTCATGAAGCTTAAACTTCAAAGCCCCTCAAGTTTCAGGGGCTTCATATTCCTTGCCCCTCATTTTATGTTCATAGTCCTGGGTTTATTTTCTTAGCGAGCCCCTCTCCAACAAATTCTTAAGCTCTCTGAACTTCTCTCTCCTCTTCTTTAATATGAGCACAGTAATATTTACATAAGACGGTTGCAGAAAGAATTAAATGCACTAAGGTAGGAAAGGCACCTTGTGGCATGCCTGGTTCACTAGCGGCATTCAGTGACTGGTAGCTGCAAAGCAAATTTCCATAACTGTCAGCTGAGGGTTCACGGTCTTTGGTATGATTGAAAAAAATACAGGGAAAGATTGCTTGATTTAATTTTGTTCTAATAAAATAAAAAGCAATACCTTTTAATAAAATAATAAAGTCAGATTTTCATGCAATAAGTGATTGCTTTTGCATCTCTTTAAATTGTCAACTCAGAACCGTAAACATCGAGATACTGAAGTAAATATTTATTGAAACTTGAGAGGCACATATATTTAGA